AAAAGAATAAGATAAGCCTACTGAGCTGGGCTGTAATTACCGAAACAATGACAATCAGTTGAAGACAAGCTCCCTTTCTTGACCCTCAAACATACACACCCTACAAATGGAAGCGGCTTGGCCTCCTGCACTATAATTGCTAAATTTCCACCTGTGGTTCTATCCCTGGGCCATGGTTCCAGTAGGTGGACATGTCGGAGTGAGCAGGACTGAAGCCCTGTTGGGACCTAAAGCTGCCTGGGCTGCAGAGGGGGGGAGGAGTTTTAAAAGGACAGTTTTTTTTCTCTCCACTCTTGCTTCTCATCCCCTGACTTTCTTATCTCGCTCGCTAAATAGGAAAACAAGGCTGAGAAGCTAATTAGTACTTTGCAAAGCTAACAGTTCTTTCTCTGAGACTTGTAGAGTTTTGAGAAATGATCAAGGCCAAATGACTGAAGCTGACCTTGGGCACTAGCCAAGTACACCACAGAAAATCAAAATCTTGCAGGGTCCTGAGATAACAGCAAAGATGAGAACAGAAACCAGATGAGGCCTTGGCAAGACCTTGTACCTGACTCACAGACACGGACCCCTCGTAACTCACATCTCCTGCTCTCCTGCTTTTCACCTCCCACATTCCATTCCCTCAAACCCTTCCTTTTAAACCCCTCAGTAAATGTAAATCTTTGAGATGGGGTAGTCTACCATCTCCTTCAGCTGAATATATCTGCTTTTCCAGCACCAACCATTTGACTTCTGAGTTTTTTTTCTTTCCTTTTCAAAGAGGCCGGCAGCCGGACCTGAGTCCAGTAACAGATGTAGTCTATGATGGTGGTAGAACACTGTGTTTTTCTATAGTGCCAACTAAGAGCCAGTAAAAAAATGGCTATTCTTTTATCAGCAGAGGGGGTCCAAAGAGCCAAAAGAAAAATCCAGAACTTTTGTTCTGGGAGCCTTTTTTATTTGCTTTCTTCCAAATTTCCAATTTTGAGAAGTTGATACCTATAGAAACCAAACAGCACATCTGATGGTTTGGATTTTCAAAGTCAGATCCTTGCACATGCCATGTTCCTACTACCCCACAAAAATGAATTTATGAGTATAAATAAATGTGTTTTAGGTCTTTGCCATTTTATGGTTTATTAAATGCATATTGGAAGATGCTACATTTTATAGACTGCAGAGGGCTTTTAAATTAAAAAGGTAAGAACTGAGAATGAGCCCAGCTGTTCCTTCATTTCCAGGGGATAATGAAGGAAAAAAATAGGTCACACCAGAGCAGTGGTTCTTAGGACATGGCCCCTGGACCAGCAGCATCAACATAACCAGGGAACTTGTTAGAAAAATAAATGATCATATCCCATCCTCTGGATCTAATGATCAGAAATGTGTTTTAACAGCTCCTCCAGGTCACTAGAGCGCATGCTCAAGTTCAAGACCTTCTGCACTAGAACTGTGATCCTTCACCCTGGCTGCCCTTATCATCACTTGCTAAACTTCTCATTGCATTTCCCCTGCTAACCCCAGGCTAATTAAATCAGAATACCTAGGACTGGGGCCAAGGAACTGCTGCCCTTAAAAAGCTCGCCAGGTGATATGAATGTAGAGTCAGAGTTGAAAGCCATTGCATACTAGAACAAGAGAGATTTAGATTAGATGCTTTTGGACTTCTGATTTTCAGTTTAGCTGAAAGTAGTCATGGCCACCAAATGAGTCCCATTCATCGAAGAACCTTTTGAGAAGAGGAGAGAGATTTCCATCTTCATGAGCTGGAGAGGTGGGATGTGAAGTTCACTAAAAGCATCATGGTCTTGTACTAAACTCAGTGGTGATAACAGTATAACTCATCCAGCAGACAGTTGCTCACCCTGAGAAAGGGATGGGCTCATCCCCACAGTCCGAATTCATTATAAAAGCAACACACTCAGAGGCAATAAGAGTGACACCAAAAGTCCAGATGCCACAGTCCCCCAAGGGGAGCTCAGAGGCTTTGAAGCCCTAAGTACCGAGGATGTGTGAGACAGCAGCCTCCTCTTACTAGTGTCTGCTGATTCTGAATGTGCAAAAGGATGACTACCTGTCAGGGCAGAACTCCAGGGGGCTACTCCCCTGGGATGGGCAGAGCCTCAGCATCCTGCTCTACAAATGAACGGTGAACTGGGGCCATCCTTCTACCCAAATCAGGAACTTGACAGTTAGCCCATCATAACTGGGTTCCTCAAACAGAGGTGCACTGGCATATTCCCAAGAGTCTTTGATTTTTATCCCATTAAAGGGGATCTAAACATTACTGAAATATAAGAAACATTGCAAATTGGTTTTTCAACAGAAACAGGCAACATTCTTTATGCTGTTCCTGCAGAAATAATGGGCCGACCCTCATGTTCCTACACTATGAGTAAGACCAAACTCGCCTTTAAAAAAAACTTAAAAAATCAGACAGCAAAGACTGGCACCAGCTCAAAAGCTGGCCAGTGAGTGTGCTTACAGAAACAACATTATCACCCTAACATCAATGCCTGAATGAGTCCTGAGTACATAAATTCTCTGGTTTTATATTCTCTTTTCTTGAAACAAGGGTGGAGACAGGATGAAAAAAAGAAGAAAAAGACCACGACTTTCTCTCATTCCTATGATTACGCAGACTCTGGAGTCTGACCAACCCGGGTTTGAATTTTCACACTGGCACTTACTTGCTGTTTGGTCTTGAATATTAAAATTGTCTATAAGTTTAAATTTTTTCATCTGTAAAATGGGAATAATAAGCCTTAGTACCTAGGATCAGGGTGAGCAGAGAGAATTCATGGATTACACTCAGTACAGTGCCTGGAAAACAGCAAATAAAGTGGAAGCTATGGTCATTAATTATTCACCATCTGAAGCTTCACCTACTTTGTAAAGGTGTCCTTGAAAAAAATGCCTAAACACACACACAGAGTCCTTGGTAGCTCTATCCACCCAAGTACACATCTAGATTTTAATCATTACACGATACTGCAATTGCTTATTTATGTGTCTATAAAGATTTCCTTAAGGAAAGAGATGAGACCATGCCTCCATGTCCCCAATGCTTAGCATACAACCATGCATCATATGTATTTCTGGGTGAATGAATGAATGAAGCTACTGCATTTACCCAGTAATAAGGTAAGAAGAAGCTTCATTAGGATGGTTAGAATAGAAAGGAAGAGGGCCGGCCCGGTGGCGCACTGCTACAGTGCGCTGCTTGGGAGCGCGGCGGCGCTCCTGCCGAGGGTTCGGATCCCACATACAGACCGGTTCCCGCTCACTGGCTGAGCGAGGTGCGGGCGCAGCACCGAGGGTTGCGATCCCATTGCCGGTCCTGGTCCGGTACGGGCGCGACACTGAGGGTTGCAATCCATTGCCAGACACGAAAAAAGACAAAAAGGAAAAAAAAAGAATAGAAAGGAAGAGACAGGAGAGACATCTCACAAGGAAACTGATACTAGTTTGGGATACCAGCAGTAAAGGAATATTGTTCTGCAGAGGTTTCAAATGATAGTCAATTATAGATACCGTTCATCCAGAAAGCTCCTCTCTGAGGGTTTTCTAGGGAGGAAAGAGGGCAATGCTCACACATATGCTTAGAAAAGATTTTTTGGTTGTTTGGGTCTACATAGTCCTCTGAAATCAGTCCCATCTAAGGGCAGAGTATCTCCTGTGTGGAGGATACCGACATTAATAAAGCAAATGTAGTTTTAGCTAGGCCACAGCCCTGTAGTTTAAGGAATAGCCTAACTTTTTAGAATTGCACACACAAATGCTAAGCTTGGGAAAAACAGAAAACTTTCCCAGGACTAAAGTCTCTGTTATAAATTTAAAAAAAAAAAAAAAATTGTAACACAGCAAAAATGCTTGCTCTAAGGGCAGTCGTCCTTGGTGCAGCTAAACCTACTGATGGGAAAGTATGTGAGCTAAAATCTTCAAGGTTAATGGTTGGAGGATGTTCCACATCTTGCCGTCAGCTGTTTCTTTGAGCTTCTTGGGGAACTAAGTGTTGCCATGATGATTATCTCATTGTTCCTTTTGTAATCACCTGTGTTCCTTTTCTGTAACTTTCTTGCCTGGAGAATAAGAACTGAGAGAAAACCTCGTTTGGGGTTATTCCTAGGAATTCTTCTCTCTTGAAAGAATTGATCTTGGGATTAACCACTTCTGGGCCTCTCACTGCTCTGGAGAAATGGGCTTTGAGTAATCCTTTGCATCTCCATCACCCTGGGAGAGGTGACATCCTGGACATTACTCAAGGATAAGATGGAGTTGCCAAAGGAACTTTGGTCAAATCGAGAACCCTTATCTCCCTCTTCCCAGTTCTTAAGAATTCTAGCCTGTGTCTAGTCACTGCCTCTCAATCTTCACCACTCCATTTGGCTTATCGTCTTCTGCAGATCCTGCCCTCAGGAAGCCCTCCACTTACTCTCACTGAGACTTTTCTTTTGGCTCCATCCCTGCCTAATCTCTGAACTATGTCTACAAGAGGTACCTTGGCTTCAGTGCCACAGCCATCTCCTTACCACCATCCCACTTCACACCCTATTTCTGGAGTGTGGGCCTGGGCAATCTGCTCATCCAGGAAGAGTCTTAACCATTTTTACCATTTCAGGAGATAACTGGGGAAGCAAAAGCCAAGTAAACCAGCTTAGAAAGCAGATAAGAGGTTCTCTTGGACATGTGCGCCTAGAAACTCCCCCTCCCACCCTGCAAACCTGGGCTGGAGTAGATGAATAAGCCGTCTAAAAAGGCTGCAGTGATGTTCATACCTACACTCTGAGAAAGCCTGCCCAACAAGACATATGGTGACAAAATGCTACACTCAACTCCAGTCCCCAAGCCATCTTTCACAGCAATTGGGGTTAGTCACTAGAAGAGTAGGCCCACAGAGCAAGCCGTTGACTTTTATCTTTAGACTTCGGATGCTATTCATCAGCATCAATATTTTAGAACTTAATCGACTCAGCCCTAGTCTGAGTCCAGGATACCTACACCCCACAAGAACTCACCGCGTCCTGACAGCTGAGGACCTCCAAGATGCTGTTGAGTAACTCAACGCAGTACTTCTTCTCCTGCACCTGGTGCTGCATCTCGTCCTTCTGCTCCAGCAGCTCCTTTAGCTCTTTGGTGATGACGGGAAGCAGAATGTCCCGGCATTCTGGAAAGAAGGCAGGTGAGTGGCACGTGGGCATCCTCATTTCTAAATTACTATTATTATTATTATTATTAATTATACATATATATACATATATATATATACTTTTCCATTAAATAAATAATTCATGAATATATTCTCCTTAGAAAAAATTAAAATGGTAAAGATTAAGTTAAAATTTCCTTAGAACATCATTCACAATTCTGGTCCCTCCCCTAACCCCTATGACCCAGAAGCAGCCAGTTATTTTAATTTATATACATACATAAATATATAATTATATATATATATATCAGTATATAACTATATATATATATCGTGTAAAATATCTAGTATCATTTTGATTTTGCTTTTCATTTAAGTAATATACTGTGATTATAAACCATCAAGATCTTTTTTCATGATTTCACATACATATGTATCAGTATAAAATACATAGAGTGACATCTGTTTTTGTCTCCTTTTTTACAAAAGGGACCATGCTTTAGGTATTGCTCTGCACCTTGATTTCTTTCACTCACCAATATTTCTCAGAGCACTTTCTATGTTGTCATATAGAGGGACCAACTTAGTTATCTTTAACTGTTTTATAGTATTCTCTACTATCTGTTTATTTAGCCGTACCCCTATTTCATGGATATTATTCATTGGTATAAACAGTACAAAAATGAACAGACTTCCACTTGCATCCTGTGCACATTGACTTTCATTTTAAATAAATTAAAACTTTTTCAGAGAAGGGTATCTCTCTTGACATTGCTGTCTTGGAAAAATTCTGGAAGGTTCTGAAGTCCCACACAGCTTTGTCTCTACATTTCTTTTGAAAATAGAAAACCTTGAAAGAACAAATAAAATTTTTAAAATGTTTCAACCCACCCCCACCTGGATGCTGCTTGAGCTGAGATGGAAATCATATACATCAGGATCTCATTTTAATTCAATCCAACAAATAGATGTTGAATACCTTTGATGTGAAAGGCCCTGTTTTTCTAGAGGTACAGGGATAAGATGTGGTTCTTTCCCATTGGGTACTTAAAATCTGGCAGAGGTGATTACAGAAAAAGAAACAAACAAAAAGAATGAGCAATGGCAGAAGCTAGAATAAGATGAAGGTGGAAAGAGGCAGCAGATGTCTCTTGTTCTGTCAGCCCAACACCTGCACTCCCTTCTTCTGCACAGCACCCTGATTGCACTCTGGGGAGTCATCCTGCTGTGGGCTATAATCCTGGGGAAACTGCCATCAGGCTCTCTGCCTTCCTCTGGAAAAGGGCTAAGCACCTGACCCTAATTAGGATAGCCCCCCAAATCTAAATCTTGAGGGAATTTTAATAATAACTGCTAACATTCCTGGAATATACTGAGTGCTTACGATGTGCTAGGCACTGTTTTAAGTATCTTGCATGAATTATCTCAGTTAATCTTCCCAGTTACTCTAGGAGATACATTGTATTTCCCCATTCTGCTCATGAGAAAACAAAGGGACTTGCCATGTGTGCACAGCTAGTAAGCGGTGGATCCAGTCTGACTGTGCTCTTAACCACTATACAAAATGTCCTTCATGGAGCTTGGTTGTTATTACAGACGTGCCCTGAAGGGCTGCACTTGGGTGCAGGCTGCTCTCTCTCCAGAGCTATTCTGGGTTTCTCCTCTTCCGATGGCTGGTTCCTCAGCCTTTCCTTTGATTTCATGAAGTACTGTCTACCTCCCAAATACATTTCTTTTTACTAAAATTTATCAAAGTAGGTTTCTGTTGCTTACAACCAAAGAACCCCAACTGGTAGTCACAAAATGCCATGAGGGCTTCTGAAAAGAGAAATGATCTCTGTTTGGAAGGATCATGCAAAACTTTTAAGGCTCTGATAGAACTGTGTCCCTTCTCTAGGAGCCCCAATCTTAGTTTGTAATTAAATTCTAATTAGTGTAGTTAATGTCCATTCATCCCACCAAGGTGCAAACTCCATGAGAGCCAGACTAAATCTCAAGTGCCTTGAGTGAAAGGAAGAGGTAGCATTTAGGATGATCCTTGACAAGTGGCTAACATTGCCATAGGAAAAGTGGAGATTTAGAGAACAGTGGGTATTTTAGAGCACATAGATCTAGAGTAAGCGGAATATTCTCCTGGAAATAAAATAATGCGAGATAACACTATTTTTAAAAGTTCTTAGATGTAATAGGAGGTGTTAGTTTTACAGAAACAAAATTGTAGGCAACAAAAAATTTGATTCAGCTTTACTTAAAATTATTGATTAAATCACAGGCCAGAGGTTCAATTGTACTTAATGACAAATTTGGACTCAAGAAATTGTTGGCCTAAGGACTTTTGGGAGTACAAGACACTAGGTTAGCCATTACACTTGGTTTCGAGAGGTAAGGAAGAAGGTTGGAAAATATTTACATACAGATTACCATATCATTTAAGTTAAATCTATACTTAGTCCACATCTTGTCATCATAAAGTTGGGTTTTTGTCCAGATCTAGTTATTTGAAGGGGTAAAGAAGGTTCCTGCAGTGTTCATTCAAAAGTTTATTTTAAAAGTACTCTTCAAAAGGATGTTTTAACTTTGAAACACTTTGTTAGAGGAAATTATACATGCTGGAATGCCTATCATAGAGAAACTAGGTGAATTCTTCGTCACTGGAAGATGAACAACCTCGCCAACTTCATGGTACTTAACTTCCTAATTATACCTTCACTGATATTGTCATAATTAAACCTCACAAGAAGATAAGAATGGTTCATTCTCTTATTAAGTTAGATAAGGATTGTAAAGTCTTCCTCTTAAAACAGTAAAATAGGGGCCGGCCCGGTGGCGCACTGCTACAGTGCGCCGCTTGGGAGCACGGCGGCACTCCCGCCAAGGGTTCGGATCCCACATACAGACCGGCCGCTCACTGGCTGAGCGAGGTGCGGGTGCAACACCGAGGATTGCGATCCCGTTGCCGGTCCCAGTCCGGTACGGGCGCGACACTGAGGGTTGCGATCCGTTGCCGGTCACGAAAAAAGACAAAAAGGAAAAAAAAACAGTAAAATAAACAAGAGATTCTAACAAAAAAGATTTAAAACACAACAAAAAGTCTTGTTTTTCCACAGTTCTCTGGGCAAAAGGGAGTCACCAAAAGATGTGCCTTAAGGAGATTTGTGTCACTGCAGTATACAGGGTGGCTGGAGGAGGAAAAGCCCAGCAGGCAGAGACCCATGAAGATACCCATGAAGATGACCTTGCAGTGACTCAGTAATGAAATGACAATAAAAGTGCCGGGGTCCCCTCTAGATTCCCAGCTTCTGAGATAACATATTTGTCTTCTGCCGAAGCTAAAGATTTGATGAGACCTTGAAGGAAGGTGGTAAGGAACAGATCAAGAGTTTAAAATATAAGAAGACAATGATTTAAGGACTGAAATAGGCTTTCGTTGACTCAAGATTAAAAATCATTTAAAACTCTTCCCATCTGCAAAGTGAGACTCCTAGGACCTGCAGGAAAGAGATATATAAAGCAGATAAAGGGCTAACCCATTCATGCAGTTAATTAACTCATTCATTCATTCGGTCAGTCAGTCTACTACATTTATTGAGGACTCACTATATGCCAGTTACTATTCTGGGATGGAAGGAAATGACCAAGGGTTACTACCTGTCATAGTGACAGAGCCAACAGAGAAAAGAAGCAGACTTGAGTAGACAAAAACAAAACTAAACAAAAATCTTACTGCCTTTATCTCCTGGGGATACCACCCTCTTAGGAGCAGCCATAAAACAGATGTGTGGCATAACTGACGTCAGGTTTTTCCTTAAAAGTTCACGCTGTTTGTACTCTAGTTGAGATACCCCAGTTAGATCCTTTTATAAAGATATAAATCCAAAAGAAAAGTCCACTTGGGAGATTTTAGATATTAATGATCTCTTTGAGAAGTCACTGGACTTTAAATACTACTTAAAACTGAGCAAAATTAGTACATTCTCATGGAAAGGTCTACTAGTGAGTTCTCCATCCCCGGAAATATTTAAGCAGTAGGTAGTTGCCTATGGATAGAGATGATGAGAAGGTAAAGTATCAGCCAAAGGGTTGAACTGAATAATGGTTTTGACCCCATTCAAAATTCTAGGATTCCATAAAATATAGGTGTGGAGGAAGTGGCAGGAGAAGGGATATATTTGTCAGGTGGAAAGACTGTGGACATATGTGCATTGCTCACAGACCACTGAGGGGCTCTGGGAGCTGCAGACCAGGCGCCAGTAGAAGCAGTGGTTTATCGATCTGAAAGCCATCAGTTTTACAATTATCAAAACCAGCATCCCCATAGGGAGGAGGCTCATGGGGCTGAGAGTCAGCAAGATTTTCACTGAGGAAGCCATTAATAATGTGGTCTGTTTTTCAGAAAGTACTTTGTCATCTCTTCACCCACGATTTCTCAGAAATGTCTGGCTCCTCTGTTTTTAGATGAAATAATTTTTCTCATTTGTAAGTGGAGTTGTGAAATTATATTAGTCTGTAAAGCTTCAGGAAGCAGCGTTTCTAAACTGTTGCTTGATTGTCAAGCAAACAAACACAAGTGGTTTAAAAGATAAATATTGCAAAGCCTTAAATCAATCTTCATAGGCAGAGGTAATGAGAAGCAGAGAGCTGTGTACCCAGGCTGGGTCCTCGCCTCAGGTACACCGATGTCTGACAAAGGCTGGGAGATCTGCCACCAGGTGACAAGTCCCAACTGTAATTCAGACCAGCCACTGAGGAATCTGCAGAGCTACTCAACTCTTTGTATTTTAATCAAAAGGAGTTTTCTTTTGTCCAAATGACTGCAGATAGGAAAATGCAGTATTTCTGGGCTCTGGTTTCTCCCTTTTTCAAGAAAGTTTTGTCTATGGCAGTCGATGATACCTACCTGAATTCTTAGCCCTCTTGAAGTATAAATATGCTTTTGCAATTATTTCATGACTCAGGGACACTTTTTTCTCACTTGCTCTCCCCAATATCAGCCTCATGGAAAGAATGGAATGGAGATT